GTCGGAGGTAACAGTACCCATCAAATAAGTCAAAATAAGAATACTAGTACCGCTAGTCGTAGTTAGAAAAAAATACCAACACATGCTTTTATTCATTTATCGAAGAGCATGGTTAATGGGAGCTATAAAAAAAACAAGCACTGGCGTCGAAAGACGTAGGGCCTGCGGAGATTGGTCGGGCGGCATGGTGCGCGGGTAGGGGACGCGCCGTATTGATCCGGCGCGCGGCCCGTGCCCCCGGCCCCGAGCCCCGAGCCTCGCCAGACATTACAGAAGCACTCGCAACCCTCATCCCCGCGCCCTCCACCCACCCCTAGCCTGACGCACACCGCCTAGCCGCCTAGCCGACACCCGGGTACAACGCAACCACACCCCTTTTTCATGCAGAATCGAGTCACGGGATTTTCCAATTCAATTTTGCTGAGCAATCTAGAACATAAGTAACGGTCGTTGAGATGATAATGGATAGAAAATATGATAAATAATGTGGCTGATGTGAACAGATTGGCTCCAACGACAACATTATGGATAAAACCATAAGAGACGAAACTTTCTCGCCTCAAGATTGATTACATATTCAAGATTGAATAAAGCATTCACGAAAGCTCTGGCTTCCAGAGGAGCATGCCGAATGTTCTGGAGTTGTGTATCTTGTCAAGAGTGTTTTATTTGTCAAAAAAGATGAAAGTATGCGACGTGTTTACTGCCATATACAGTAGCCACTTGATTCGATTATGGGCACAATAAGCGAAGGAGCATTTTCGTAAGTTCGTTGACTCCGCGAACAATGTGCCCGCGGGTAGCGGTTGGGCCGGCGCGATCCCGCCTGCCGCATCTGCTGTCCGACGATGGATTTTATAGAGACAGCATATGTATAAGACAGCTTCCGACAACTTACATTTTCGACTAATATGAATACGATTGCCTTACGTGTCAGCATTTTAGAAGAGAAAATGTAATGCTATGTGATTTTTTTTACGTTGCGTTAGTAAACTGCATGTAACTTTGTATGTGATAATATTAATATAGTGTATATTCAGAAGACGTTTACAGTTTATGGGGGGTAAAACAAATAAATCTGTTTTTGGGGTCAGCAGATATGGCAACAATGGCGAGAACGAGGTGAAGGTCAAAATTGTTTGTCAAATAAAGCGCCCTAATTGAAGGGATCACCGAACAAATGCCAGATAACGTTGTTGACTCCATAGTATTTATGTTGTTAGGTGAGTCAGGCGTGATAGCCTAACTTGGTCTGACTCATCTGTACACTTAAGTTGGCTGTGCAAGTAATACGGGAATAAGGTCGTGACGCATCGCCAGTACTCATACACACTAATTATTCAGCAAATGAAATAATGTTAAAACAACAAACCATTGAAGAATTAGTTCGGTACGAAGCTCCAGCGCACACGTGTAACACTGTCTCTCATCATGTTTGATTGATGGATGGAGCGTATCCCACGGGTCACGCCAACGATAACATGTTATTATAAAAATACGAATATAATAATAGACGCTGCTTGTTATTATACCACCACCGCATTATTATAATCTGTGTGTCAGTTAAATGTTACCATCATAGCATAAATAGCTGTAGAAGAATGATCGCGATCAATGGACATTTAATCGAAATTAATAAAATAAAATATGAGGGCATTAGCAATGGGATGAAAAATATCAATTGAATGAAAAAGCTACAATTTACAATGAATAATAACTTAATAAAAGAACACAATGTACCCCCATTATCAAATTGACTTCAATGGGTACATAATAACAATAAATTGTTCTTTTATATTACTAAGTTAAAAGAAGTCAAAATAACTTTGCAGATTATTAAATATAAGAGAGTTGTTTAAGCTAAAGGCAGGGGGTATGGAATGATACACACAAACAAGCCATAGTCCAGCCGAGTGGCACAGCATCGTAAGCGAATCCACCCACTCGGTCTGGCAGTCAGGTACCACAGCAAGTTATTTGAATCGAGTTAGCTCAAGAACATAACTTTCTAGTGACTCATAGGAAGAGAGCTATCTCGCGCAGACGCTCTCAATAAGGAAGAGGGTAATAAACAAATTCATCTCTCCCATCTTATGCGGCTTCGGAGTCCATTAAAATGCACAATACTGCACTTTATACCATAGAGCCCGGCCCCTGTACTCGAGGGGCAGTTGTTATTTTTAGGCTTTAAATTGATACGCCAACAAAGGAAAGGATGTAAGCAATTAACACTGCACTTTCGATGCCAACGTACCACGATCTTGTACTGATAAATGCACAGTGAAATCCTTGATATTTATTATATCCCTGACCCCAAAATAAACGCTTCATCGAAATGATGTAGGCCAGACGCCCCGAACACATGGACGATACAAAAAACAAAAGTCCACCCATCACACTTCCCATCATCTCCGCGTACAATTAACCACTCTCCATATAAAAGAAAGCCACTTATCCGACGGCGTGAGTACCACCATTGTTCTTGGAAGACATCTCTTACTGACACTGGTTTGACCTAATTGAAAATAATGACGCGTTATTCATTGGAGCCCTTCAAGTTAAAGTTACAAAACATCACAAGAAAGGCGGCCACACTAAAGCGATCCTACAGGTCACGCATGTCTGTATCATAGCAAGATGGATGCTGTTCTATCAAGTCATCATTAACTGGTTTTAATAGACCCTCTATTTATTCGTTACCAGTATCATCGGGACAATTTTAATGATAACCATACAAAGTTTTCGTGACTTTGGAACTTCCGAGTATTTGAGCAAATATTGTAGTACTACATATTTACTAATTTACCGAGAACTAACAACACGTGTTCATTAATAGTTTTGTTTAAATATTTATTATTACTTAGCTTTGTTGAAACGGGATGTTCTTTGGAGTTTTATTTATGGCAGCCCTACTTGATGACTGCGTGACAGGTATGTGTTTGAACCACTTATGTAATATAACGACTCCTTAATTGCGGTTCCACACACTCTAACATAGGTACCTTATAATGGTACAACTTTTTTAATGTTCGGAATTCAGGGTATCACTATCTTCAATCAAGATCATAATAAAATTCAGTGTCTTCACTAGTCTTCAAATGAATCTTGAGCAGACTTTTAGGGAACCTCGAATCGTACATTTTCTGAAAAATGTACTTAGCTCTGAAATGCTTTCTACTGCTATATGACAAAAGCGGGGTCTCCATTAGGACCTTGTATTTTTTCTCATATGCATATATTTTTATCTTATTTGTATTTCATTCCTAGCGTAAAGATGATAAAATTCTTGTGGAAAATCTTTACATTAAAAAAGAATCAGCCTTAACCGTTACACAGTAATGCACATTCCTGACCAGTTTCTTGTGACCCATTTATTTGCAAGTTCCCACAAAGGAATACCATAGTCAACCGAGAGATTACAGACCACTAAAGTTGGATTGTTCGCTCGCATGTAGGCGGAACTCACACGTTTTTGCGGCTCAAACCTAGAGAGCAAACTTGTATTGATACCGGTCCAGGACTCAACCAGTCAGTTAATATTTTTGCGGCAGATGGCGTCGGCTATGTCGCGGTCATTTACATAGTAAGTCGACGATAAGCGTGCTATATTTAGCACGCGCGGGGATGCGCCCTGGCCGGCTCTGCATCGCACCTCGCACTGCACCTACACACATCGCCTCCGTTCCTCCCTTGTCTGTTATACGCCTTCGTAGTGCAATCTGGAGGTATCTCGCAGCTATCTTTTTCAAATCGGAACAAATTGATTTACATATTTGCAAATGATTCCCTAACTAAAGCATTCGATGGACACTTAACACAATTACCTTTCGCTTTGAACCCAATACTCAACTTGGAATTCAAGCTTCCTATCAATTCTTGATAAAATTCCTGATAACATTCAGCAGCAAAAAAAAAGAAAAAAACTGCCCGGCTTATCAAATATCCTAAGCCGTTGTGCGGTTGACCTTATCCTTAAGTAGTTTTTCATAAAAAAAGTTCCACCATTCATCATTGTGTAACGTCTGTGGCATTGTAACGAAACAAATACTTCACAGTTAAGCGTGTTATGTTAAGCCTCTAACGAAGCAGTTAACGTTAACGAGAAAAGTGGCAGATAACTCATGTGTCGCGGTTGCAAGTAGCACGTTGACGCGACTCGTCCGTTGCATTATCTGAAGCAGTGGAGCGATAAAAACGAACAAAGAACAATGTCAGTAGGCGCTCAACTCCCTTTCGCACGAACTCGACTCGCTCGGGCTTCGTATGACAAAATAACATTAATTTGTCCACAACGCAGCGTCCACGCAGCGACGCGCTCCGGTGCGCGCATGCATGCAGTTATTCCAATGCTGATTGAAAATAAATTTCCATAGCCTATTGAATAAATAATCTGGCGAAATCGAATGAAATAACTCGGCAAAGTAAACATTTTGTTCATCAACTGAGAGAGAGGCTAACACAAGCACATCAATATTATAGGTGGTAGTCACATCGACGGCGGACGGTCGACGAAGTGTAAATCCGCTGTTAGGGCGCGCCGCGCGATCGGTAGTGGGTGCCAGTGTGCGTGCAGAAATTTCAATCGGGCGGGTGCATGAGCACTGCATCTCAACGGAGGCAGATGTTAATGAGGCAGCCGAGAACCCGAGACTCGGCGGGCGAACGGGACCCGTCCGCGCAGACACCGGCTAAGTGGGTACACACTACACTGCGAACACCGGTCTACCCAAAAATATTATCCAAACTAAAGATAAACTAATATTGGAAAAAACTAAGCACGTTCCCCTCAAGCACGGGTGATAATAAGGGTAGTTAACACTCTTATTGGAACAGATAAATCAATATCTATAAACATCAGACGAAGAAATATTCAAATACAACGTCTTTCAACGTTTGAACTGTAATGTGAAGTGTCATAACAATTTTAATGTAGGTATTAAGTTGCTTAATTAAAATTTATTTTAAATACGAAAATACTTAAAATATATGGAAGTACTCACCATGCCTTCACACGAATCAGAACCTCGCCTTCTCCAACAGTAGGTTCAGGTTTTTTCAGGATCTTGACAGTCTTCAGTCCGCCAAAGCCGGTGAGAACGACAGCGCGCATCTCTTTGGGAGGAGGAGTCTCCTTTTCTTTCTCTTCAGTCGCCTTTTCTGGGGTCTCTTCGGGTGGGGTCTCAGTAGTTCCATTTTCAGTGGGAGTCTTTTCAGGCGCAGCTGCCGCAGGGGTTTCTGTGCTCTCCGTCATGATTTTGGCGAGGTGTTTCAACTAGGTGGTGCGATCGGAGCGGTGCGGCTAGCGGACGCGATGGGAATGAGCCCGGACGAATGTAACGGAGGCCGGCCGGCAAGTATACGCGTCGCGAAACGAATGATTCGAGAGAAGGGAGAAGCGCGCGCAGCGGCGTCGAGGGTGCAGGGGCGCGGGCCGGGGTGGGGGGCGCGAGCCCGGCGGTGCGGGGCGCGGGCGGGCCGGGGGGCACACGCGCGCCACCGCGCGGCGACAGGTGGCCACCGCGCCGGCCGGTTTACCTCCCCGCAGCCCCCCGCCCGATATTATACTACACAGGACCTGGATTAACTTTATTGCACAGAGGTCGATATAAAAAAGCTGTATTAGTTATGTACTGGTCCACCACGTAGACGCGCTGTAGCCTAGAATCGACACCTCCCAAATTAGTAGGTACACACCCTGAACGTGACTTGGCAACGGGATCGATATTGTAATTTATTGCGACTAAAGTTGCATATGTAGGGACTGACAGACTGCGGCCGATCAATGTATAGGGAGCCTACGATTCTAGACTACTATAACTACTTACTCATAAAGTGCCTACATGGGATGAAACATCAATAAATTTTATTAAAAAAAGCCCTACCCTCATTTGGCAGCATTATAACGTCGACAAACGCAACCTGTTGATTAATTTAGATAAAGTTAATACAAAGGAATAATTCTCATTGTTTATTAAAGTCATATATCGGTTCATATACTAAGTACAGTGGGTACGATATGCATGTGGGATGCTTCGCCTTTTGTTTTATTGGTAACGTTATTAATGCATTGTTTATTTGATAAAAATGAGGTTGTTAATTTTATCAACGCGACCTTCGGCGATGAAAGTATAAACACAGCAATAACGGCGATATCATATTACAATGTAATGTACAGAATATCATTTGTCATAACAAAATAAATTAGTTTATACTGTTATTACTTCTTAGTAGCTTTATGGGCGGTTCTGGAGGTAGACTCATATTTCTCATCATCCATCATCATGAGACGGCTTTGTTACTGAAACTTTTTTGATAATTCTTGTTCTTTTTTTTTAATAAGAACGGTATTTGTTCTCCTTATTATATAGAACAAAAACAATATATTCTTGTGTACCTATAGAATGTACCCACAAACTTATATTTGAATAAGTCTGTGAATGTACCTACCTATATTAATTTACAAAAATTAATGAAAAATGTTTGCCTAATCCTCGGTAAAAGAATTTTCAAATCGGTTTATTATTTAAAAGACGGTTTGTTGGTTTATTTATTTGCTTTAAGTATATCAAAATGTGAATGCTCAATATTTTTAAATAATACTGAACGTACAGATACAGATAATAAATTAAATTGTTCAAGCATTATTATTTTACCCACACTGAATAAATAATATGATATCTAACCTACAAATGTGTTATTTAATTTTGTCACGGTATTTACAAAATCGTACTCAAAATAACATTATGAAAAAAAATATTAACAAAAATCAACAATTTTCTATACACATCATGTTAAATTTGAGCGAAGAGCTAGTTAATTAGAAATACATTCTTGCTACTTAAGTTAATTACTGGTACAGTAGTTACGACAGACGGACTGACAGATCCACTTACTTGATTGGACCAACTTGATTTTATTTGCTCAGTATTCTTTTATGCTCGCTTGTCATTTAGAATAAAAACTTATATTTGTAAAAAGAACATTATAATATACCCAGTACCAATATAAGTATGCTTGTCGTGGTGGCCCGGAGGTTAAGGAGCCCGCTCCTCATGCATGAGGGTTCGAAACCTGGCAAGTACCAATGTGACTTTTTCAGAGTTATCTTTACTTTCTATGATTATTTAGAGACCACTGACATACGGTGAAGGTAAACATCGTGAGGAAAACTGTACTTATAAGTTCTAATTATAAGTTTGAATACGCCAACCGGCATTGAGCAAGCGTGGTGATTAATCCTCTAACCTTCTCCGTATGAGAAGAGGCCTTTGCTCAGCAGTGGACACTTATAGGCTGATGATGATGACCAATATAATTGTTATTTGACTTATTTGGTATTTGATTAGGTAGGTACTGCCGCTGTATCGTTGGCGTCTCAGTCGTGATTTCAATTATTGAAATAAAAAAGGAATATAGGGTAGAGTACCCAATTATCAGCAATTTAAGTGTTAGTCTTAACTTAAGTCTACTTTATATTTGTGAAAAATAGCTTATATTCCTTAAAGCTAATTTTATAATTCTAATATTGAATACGAAAGGAGATTTTAAAGAAAACCGTGGTTGACCTACTTATATCAAGATTTTTTAGACAAGGAAGGATAAAAAATTGTCCTCTCACCATTTATCTACTGGCTTTAGCTTCAATTAATAGCATAGAGCGAGCAAATTATCTATTTATTTGAAAGCGCTCGTCACAGAAACTGTTGGTTTGAATTAAAAATATTTTGTTGTTTTGCGTCGAATGTACCATTTTTAAGCTTAGACTATACCTATTATAACTACTATCGGCTCAAGGTAGTACTTATCCTTTTTTTACCTCTGGTCTTCTGCCGAACTTCATCCTATCCTTTATTCGACTGCACGGTTGGCGCGGTGGCTGGGCAACTGGCTGCCGCGCAACGTGTCGTGGGTTCGATTCCCGCACGGAACAACTCTTTGTGTGATCCACAGATTGTTGTTCCGGGTCTGGGTGTGGTGTGCATGTGACATTGTATGTTTGTAAACGCACCCACGACACAGGAGAAAATCCTAATGTGGGGGGCAACGTTTTAAAAAACCAAAATAATTATCTTATGAGCGAATTAATATAGGTGAGAGTGCACAGTTGGCGTAGTGACTGGGCCACTGGCTGCCGTGCAACGCAATTGTAGTTTTGGGTCTGGGTGGTTTGTGTATGTGCTATGTGCATTTGTATGTTTTTAAACGCGACACAGAAGAAAATACCGCTGAGGGGCAAGGTTTTCTAAAAAAAAACTAAGATATTGATAATTATATAGTAAGTAATACCTACGTTGTATATACTCAATTGATTTATTCAGACTAGACGACCTTTTGTTGTCCCACAGGCTTAGGCCCTTCAAGATCAAACAGGAGTCATGTGAGGCTGTCGCACATGCGCACAACTAACAAGATAAATGCTATCAAAAACTTTTTTAAACGTTGTACCACGCTTTTCTTCTTTTTAGGAATTTCTTTTTGTCCTATGTCGTTCAGACACATTCAAACCCTCAACAACAAAATTGTAGGTCCCACAAAAATTGTTCCGTGCGGGAATCTCCCAACATGCAGCTCGGTAAGTAGCTGAACGTCCAGCTTCTGCGGCAACCGCAGGTACAGTCAATTTAAGTACTACAGACTGAAGTGACTATCATTCGATTTTATTTAATTGTTTAATACAAAATCTGTACAACCAGACTTTATGACTTAGGCATTTTATCTCAGTCGAAATTTATACCTTGATCATAACTTGGATAGATTTTTTTTTATTTTTTTTTAAAAAAAAAAACCTTGCCCCACATTAGGATTTTCTCCTGTATCGTGGGTGCTGTTACAAACATACATTTTCACATACACAAGACACCCAGACCCGGAACAACAATTTGTGGATCACACAAAGAGTTGTTCCGCGCGAGAATCCAACCCGCGCGGTGCAGTCAAAACTTATATGATGGATAGGTACCGCGCAAAAGGCATTGGTGCAAGATTTTCATAAAAAAAAAAATATATTCATTTGCTGCAAGCCGGTCAAGCTGAGTAACTAATTAAGTCTTATCCCACACAATTCCAAACCCTGTCCTATTACTAAAAAATTAAGAAAACCAAATCGCTCAATTAGGTCATAATAGTTCAATAAACTGAAATGTTAGGTCAGGGATCATTCGAACAAGTATCAGTTTTTTAGTAATTGAACCATTGAATATCACTTGAGATAACATTTAGAAATGATTCACTCTCCCCTAGATACTTATAATTTACACAATTCATCCAAATTCTTTGGTCAACTATTCACAAGAGATTCCAAAATACGGGTCTATGACGAACACTCATCGATAACGGCTTCATTGTTCGAAAAACCAATTTAGAGATTTAGGCCGTAGGTACCTACGTAAGTAATAATTGGATAAGCACAATGGGAAACAATAGAAAAATTCTGAAAGCTTGAATGCAAAGTTTATTACCTTCGTGTACTGCGTAAGAGTCAGTGAAATAAGTACTTAGAAGCGTATCTGATTCGCAGATAACGTCCACGTGAGTGGTCGATGCGTCACAAAACGCGTTCGCTAGTAATTTACTACCATGGTGGTATTCTGGTATTCTAATTATGTGAAAAATGAACGCCGGAAGCGATAGATTTGAATTCAAAAGAAATTATGCTTCCGAAGTGCCAAGATTATTTTTAGTAACAGTGGAGTTATGTGGTTGGAACTATTTTTAAACGAATAATTTGTTGTTAGTCCGGTTAGATAAACAGACAAACTTTGGCAAAAACCTGTACCTACATTATTTTAAAAAGGTTTCTTGCTATTTTGGCAACATGAGGATATTAAGTAGAATTTGGAATACCTACTAGCTTATAAAACCTTACTATATTTAAAAATGTGGTATAGAAACCAAAATTTGGTTTAGCATTATTACAGCAAATTACATTTGGCGCCAATATATAGGTAAATGTAGATGTTACCAAGAAAAACATAAATGTGGTGGGTACTTTTAATAATTTTATATGTCTTCAGACATTATCTACATTGACTAAACATTATATCAATAAGATGAATGTAAATCAACTTACAACGGAGAAGATTAAGCCTATTCACAGCTATATACAAGCTGACTCCGACGACTGAATCAATCGTACAATTGGCGTGGTAGTCTCAAGTTGTCGCCATTTATGTCATCATCATAATAGCCAGGAAACGTCCTCCGCTAAGTATCGGGGCTCCCTCGTAAGTTTCAATAAAGTGCCCATACTTCCAACCAATGCAGAAAGCACTTAATACTTTTTAGAATAAAGTCAATTTTTAAATTTGTTTCAGATTTTGTATCAGAGATTTTTGCATAATTTGGTTTGCTAAAAAGTTATGCCATCTAATCGATAACCTAATAGGTGCCTTTTTTGATAAGATACAATCCTCAAATGTGACTTCTTT